ATTTTCTAAGATGATTCAAAGGATAACTGCAAATAATCATCCGAGAACCTTAGCAATCCTAAGAAAATGCTACATGTGACCCCATCGAAAATCCATCTCGGCGACTAAGATAATAATTAGTACTTCGTCGTAGTTCACGTTAATCACTCTGTGCTTGCTTCCTGCGATACGTGCGGCGAAAATTATGAAAATGAAGACATCGAGTAATCAGCCGAATTATAGCATGTTATCTTTGTACAGAGTGGATCTCAACGAATCAGTAAACTTTTCAAGCAACTCGTTTGACGTTGTTATATCGAATGTAAAGTTCTGCAAGCTTCAATTGCTGAACTAACAAGCTGTCGAGGGCAGCAGTACACACTTCATCGAACTCAACTCATTATTCCATCATCACCTTCATTGATGTTACGCTCTAAAATGAAATACGACCTTCCAAGTAGTTGTAAAAATTGTTCGAGCAAAATAAAGTCGTTAGTTTAAACAGAGCATACAATTTTTTAAATAAGCATCTTTTTGCTGTTGTAATGGAATAATTCTTTGTTGATGAGAACTGTCAGAATTTTCCTCGGGTAATTCAAGAATGTGAAGCTTCTCTGATTCAATCGCAAACTTTTCATTTGTGATCATACTGAAGGATAAGAATGGTTATCTCTACTGTAATTGTGTGAAACTGCTATCATGAAAACATGTCTTATGCACATGGGTATTTTTTCTCAAATGATTTTTATTTGTTCCGCTTGGGTTACGCGTAATTCGCACAATCGCATATGTCACAGCAACTATTTAGAAGTGGATTTTTGTTTTAGGTTTAAGGCATCTGAAATCTTGCTCAAAAAATACTTGTTCGAAAACAACATTAGCAAGCCGCTTCGAAAATCATTCAAGCAGCTGAGAGTTGCTCTAGCTAGGCGATAGGATTATGCCTACTCATTGGTTAAAGAAACGCATAAGCCCGACAAGTTTGATGCGATGTGAAGTGAAGTGCAGTAAAGTGAAAGGGAGTTGCCGAGTTGAACCTATGCTTTAACAGCAAATCTATTACACTATCACTTGTAGAGCTCTGCTGATGATGAGCAATGTAGTCTGGTGGGGAAATACACAGGATAATGTGCTCACAGCAGTTGGGATACATTGAATATGTTGAGAGAATTGAGTATATTCTGGTTGTGGTTAAGCTCGACTAACTGGAAGTCTATGCTCCTGTTCCCACTAACATCGTGCATTCAGCTGGTTTGTGGATCTTGGATTTGCCTATGCAGCCAACCGCATTCATTGATCCTCTCTTATATTTATCCTGTTTGCCACAATTCACTCCAGTAATATCGAATACGAAATCGTTTTCTTGTACTCTGCTAATGCCATTGCCTCGTTGATTTGTTGAATTCAGCTGGATAGTTTTCGTTCATTCAACATTTCTATCATTGATCTGTTTGCTTCGTTTTATTCAGTTATTTTTACTCGATAAGTCAGCATCGAGTGAGTGCCAAACAGCAACTGCAACAACACAATTACACTTGCTCGTTTGCTTGCTTCATTTGATTACTTCGTTCCAGTTGTTCACAATAATGTGTTAGCAAACTTAGTGAGAAAATTTGTCTTGACTCGTTTCAAAGTCGTTTTCACAATTAATTACGCTATCGCCAACAATAACAACAGCAACAACAACAGAAATGCTGTTGTTGTATTTTAACAATATTCCGAAATCAATAAATTCCAGCATCTTCTTCTGAAATATCTGTGTTTTTGATTTCATGGTCTGAGGGTTTGTTCACCTTTCGACGCTACTTATTGTTTGCTTTTGAGATCTCAAATTTCATTGACGAACACACTGGTGCACTTTCGACTGAGAGAAACCTTTAAAGGCTCGACGAATCCTTGGAAGATCGCGATTTCTTTTACGGCTTCTGATAAAAAACTTTGTTTTTGCGTTTCTTCATTAGTGTTAATGAAGTTCCATCTATTTTTCGCGTTCTTTCCACATGTGCGAAGCTAACTGCGCGTAAAACTTCTTATTGGCGATGCATCTAATTGAGTGGTTGTTGATTCCAATGAGGAGGCAGAAAGCTTCCATCGAGGATGTTCGCTTAGTTATGTGCTGAGAATGAAAGAAAGAAGAAATATCCGATGTCTTGCAAACGATCGTTTGTAAATCGTTGAATCGAAAAGCGATCAACTATATCGATCAAAAGCAACCATACATTCTCAACATCTGATGTGAATTCTTAGACTGTCAGCCACATTTCATTCACTTCACTAGCTACAATAACTCATGGACCAATTTACATTTGAACCTTTATCGCGAATGCATTAGGATTCCTTTGATAAAATTTGTCTCGTCGAATTTGTCTGGCCCAAGAAATAGCCTACGCATTCGTCTCTGATGCACCATTCTCAGTTCAGCAGCATTTGTTACTGCACACTGAAGCATTCGTTATTTATCAGTCATATATTCCTTAACAGGGATTGCAATACAAGATGCGATCCACAATGAGATTAGTAGGATTTGAGAAGAATGTTGGCATTGTAAGAATTCAAATGAAGAACATGTGTTGATTTGAACATTGCTGCAGTAATGATCTAAAAGGAGTTTGCCGTTGTAAGTTGTGATTTCCCAGTTGCATCATCTATTTCTAGCGTTCACAAGAGTTTGCAGAAGAATCGTAATGGCGATATGTTTCCTCGAATGCAATGCGTTGTTTTGAAGTGAGTTTGTTGCAGACTTTAGTAAGCCTCTTAGGTTGAGTTCTATTGATTCGACATTACTGAATGTGGTCGGTTCTTGATTTAGTATATTTGAGTTGTAGGACTGGTCCGTTAATTTGCTAAAGCAAACAGCATTTCACCTCTCTTTAATCAGCACACACAAATAGGAGCATTAAAGTATCTGCTCAATAGTAACTAATGATCACTACTGTTTATTTGTCATTACAACCGTATCAACGAAAACTGCTGCATTCCAAATTTCACAAATTTGCAATACAATGAACAAGTTGAACTCTGTTTTCAATTGTGACTCGGTAAGTCAATATATATAGGTCCTTCAACGCAGGAGATTGTTCCATCAAAGACATGCATTTATGTTGATACGAGCTCATACTGACCCGATCAGATGAATTCTTGATGTCAAACTAAATTACTTTTGTATGTCTTCTTACCGTCGAACGGCTTTACTTTCTGCCGACATAGTCTGATTTCCCAAATTCTCATACTTACTGAATATATATTTCCTTGGTAGTCCCTCATTGTTTCTATCGTTAAACATATTGTTGTCATCGTTTTGGTGCTGAGAATACGTGCTTTCAGTAACAATTCCATTGAGATTAATTGGATCACATTGAAGAAAACCTGCACTCTTTCCTTACTTCTTCCGATTAAATCTCATAGCAACACCTTAATGAATGATGTTTACTGGGACTTCCCAGCGAAACTAGTTGAATGAGCTGGCAACTGCAGAATGTTTGTTCATTGATCAGCACAAGAGCAGTTGGCAATGCGAGTTTGCTTACTGATGACCGGTTCTAGCATGAGGTGAATATGTTGCACTGCGGACGATTAGCAATACCCGAAAACAATGCTTATTTGAACGGCACTTAGGCTCAGCATCAGTAATGAAATGATAACAGCTAAACTTTTCCCCTAAAAGCCCATCTGAATCATGCAACATTCAATAGCTGTTGTCTCAGCTGTTACACGAGGTTGTTATTGATGATCACCAATTCACTTGCTAACCATAAATTTTAACTATCGTTCATAATACAATGACAAAATTTGGGCAATACAAACTTCAATAGATAGGCAAAGTCTGCACATTGCACATGTCAAATACAATTTAACGATTGCGTGAATCATCGTCATGCTTTAAGCAAATAGACACCTTTACGAGAGGATATTTGATTTGGAAAAGCCAGAATACACCTTTGATGTGTTATGGCAGCGAATACCATCAACACAACCTCGCCTCATTTCCTGTTTGTATTGTTTGCATTAATCTTACATAAGCAATAGTCTACTTAATCAGCAAGTAGAATAATTCATCACGCTGAAATGTCTCTCCGTTACATTACAACATTACCAGAAAAACAATGTTCTGAATTTTTTGGTGTAGTTCTCCATTACAAACGTTGTATTGTCCATCTTCATTCATTTCACTTCGAATGATGCTTTTGTGAAGACAGTAGTGTAGCGCATTTAGCAATATTTCTGGATTAGACTAATATGTTTCCCTTTGCTGGGAATGGTTTTGGAGAATATTTCCGTCAATAATTGGGTATCAAACGGCACTTGGAAAACGAAGGGGTCCAAAGTCATCACGGGTGGTCCAGTAATTTACCAAAACATTTGGTCATGCACGATGAGAAATACGTTCAGTTTATCTTATTGATAAGTTCTGAGAAAGTATGATAGAATGCTCATGAATGATTGTCCTCATGCGATGTATTCAATTAAAGCGATATGACGCGTCCTAATAACAACCACATTCAAATGTTCTCCTTTCGTAAGAACTCTTGCTAAAAAGATGTTTGCAAATAAAGCTAATCATTGCAGCTCGTTAAAGTTACCTATGGAACAAGTGGAAAATAGGTGAAGTTGCTGAATTGTTGCTTCATACAAGATGCCTTTTAAGCGACCTTTGGGAGAGCGAATTGACGAAAATCAAGTAGCACCGAACTTCATCCGAGTACGTTGTTCACAATTTTATACTTATCAATAGAACAGCGTTGATGCAAGCCTCTGCGATCGCTTTTCGAATCGTAAACATTTATGTGGGGAAAATACTCTCATAAATGATGTCTGCAATTACTCACGAACAAATTTCCAGCAGACAATCTTGGTGTTTTGCAGGGAAAATCAGATTCATTTCAGGTACATTATTATTTTAATGATCAGGATATGATATTCCACTGAATGCAGTTTCATAAATAGTGTTTTTGATAGAGCAATTGATCAGCTTATGAACAATACATAGATTGAGGATTGAATTCTGAATCCGTTGAAATGCAATGTTTATTCAGCCACTACAAGACAAACGTGTTGTGGTGGGTCAGGATGTCGCTTTGGACTGTCAAGTTGAAGGTCATCCGGAACCAGTGGTAAAATGGCTTAAGGACGACCATATCGTGACCCAGTGTCCAGACTATGAGGTGAGCATGAGCATTGAAACATTAGGGAATGCTAGATAATGTTTCAAGATAATGAACGTACCATTCGGCAACAATTTCGATTTAGGACAATTCCAACAGTTTTATTACCAATTTCACAACGTCACAGTTTCGCTGTGAATAGATGTTTTGTGAATTTGGAAACCGTTTGTTAACAAGAACTGTTGCATTTTGCAGATATCTGAGGACGGTGTTAAGCACCGTTTGTTCATACCGAATGTGCAAGCATCTGACAGTGGTCGTTTCACAATTCAAGCAATGAACGCTGCCGGCGTTAAGATGTCTTCTTGCACACTTATTGTCGCTCCAGCACCCACACCAATTCCCGGTGTCAAATCCATTGCGTACGTAGCTCTTATCTATACTGATTACAGCAATAACATTATCAGGGAAGATAAATAAATTATCGCAAAATCATGAAATTCGCAAAGAAGAATTCATTTTTGGAAGATTCCAGCGTTATGTGTTTGTCTCAGTTAGATTAAATTCGGGTTCTCCATCACGAATTGTATGCACAATTTAAGTTTTTGATAGTGACAAGTCAGTGGAGGAAGAAGACCGGAATAAATCTGAAAGCAGATTGAAGTTAATGAAAAAATATCACATTTTAAATGCTCCATTCCACTGTATGTTCGAATGTTTGAAAACTAAACAATTTTGTGAATTTTCCGAACAAATTAAGAAACATCCTAATGCAAGAGCTTCCAAATTTCGGCGCTTCATCTTTTGAACACAGCAGAAAATGCTCTGAAATCAATAACCCATAATACAGTGAGTTTGTTTCCAGTGGAACAAAATAACTGCAGTTTGATTTGTAAATGCGAACTTTTCAAACATTAATTCACATTTACATGAGCATACTTCTGTCTCAAAACTAGCTTGATATGTGAACTATTACTTCATATATATTCTTTCACTTGAACTTCATCGCAAGATTATAATTAAAAAATCAAACATCCTAAACCAGTGAAAAACTTATCTTCGGAGAAAAAACACAGTTGTCGTTGTTTTGTGCAACAGAAATCGCCCAGCAGCGCCCATAACCATGCAGCTTTATTCCTTTGGAATATTCAGTCTCAATTGCACAAAAACAGATCAGTGACCCTCAAAGTCTGTCCGGCATTAATTGCACCAAGTTGCAGTGAGTCTCCTGCACCACCTCAAACGCCAGTTGGCCCATCGGCTCCAGTTTTCCTGAAAGAACTGAAGCATCAACCGCTGAAACCAGGCGATCAAGTGGTACTCGAAGCTCGGGTGGTCGGCAATCCAACACCGCAAGTTGAATGGTTGAAGAATGGATCTGTGCTCAAAAACTATCGGTTTCGTTTTATTTAGATATTATGCTGGGGCTGAAATTCGTTCGCAAAATAACTTCTACGTAAATTTCAAGACCCCTGCTGCCTCAGTTCGAAATTTAAAGTTCGATTTGCTTGCCTTATCTAAGCATTACGAAGGCATATTTCATTGAGATATGTTTTCGTAATCATCCACCAAGCTCTAAACATATCTTTTGATAAGATATGTTCATCGGCAACATGTCGGCAACAAAAGCATTCCGTTTTGATGTTCCTCATCAGAGTGAGTGGTGCAGACTACTAATGAGTGAAACGGTCGTAATGTGATGGAGAATTCATTCGGTGCTCGAAGGAACCCAATAGAAACGGATTCCTCCCGATGTTGATTATGAGGAAGAACATTTTAATAAATGGAATGGCTAAGAAAGGCATAAACTTGGGCTCTCAGAAAATTTAGTCAACTCTTTATGGAACTGGGGTACAGTTTTTGTAGGTCATAATGAAAGTGCAACAACGAATTGCGCAATATTGTTTGAAGCAGTCCAAAATTTATTTCAAAAATTCCCAGCCGCGTCAGTCTTCCACTAGAACAAGATGCAGGAATTGTTGAAACTTCAGCTTAAGGGAAATAAGGTCCCTACTTTTTAAAAAACTGTCAGAAATGTTTGGGCGTACGTGCGATAGTGGATGTTTCGCGTGATCGACATGTTGAGTGGAGTGAAAAACACCTTTTGTTTATGATTAATGGGGATGATGACGATCAAATATTGTTTATGCTTGAGTCAAATTTAAACAACTGTTGTTTTGTTATTTACGAACTTGAAACGTGCCAATTGCAATAGACCGAACGAGACAAATTACGAATGAATCTATTGAAGTGCATGCACCAATTAAAGCCAATAACAACTTTTCAAGGCGAGGATTTATGATTTGAAGTTAAAGTTGAATGCCAGCAACTGTTGCACTGAAATATTATTCTTACATATACTTGAAAATGTTGAATGATTTGACGCATTCTAAGCAAACTGTTGTGTTTTTCAGTGCAAAAACAGAATATGATCCACATACGGGAATCTGTATCCTTTGTATACCTCAGATGTTTGCCGATGACATCGGCAAATATACGTGTAAAGCAACGAATACGAACGGTGTTGGTGAGAGCTCTGCACATGTGAGCTCATTATATGGTCATTGCATGAAGAGTCATTGCATGAAAACATTCTTATCGTTCTACACTGGTTGAATAAATATTGCATGAAAAGACAAAACTATTCTAGAAAGGTCACTTTTTTCAGTTGTTACCTCGAGATCAATATGAGAAATGGTTCCACGATGAGCAATCGCAAATCACTCAAGAACGAAAGCGCACCATGCTCGCACAATCACAGCAAGTCCAACAACGTAATATACTTGAATCAGATGTGCTCTTTCTCTCGTCATCCCGAGATATCCTGAAATACTGTTATCAGTTAGCTACTATTAGTGGTGAAATTACAACGTCGAGACGAGTGGGCTGCTGTTTTTTTTCAGTTACAGCTTGATAAAGCAAACGCATTTCGTCAGCTGTAAATTTGGATCTTATGGCGGAAAATGAGAATTGTGATTGCAGGCCGTTCAAGCAATAATTCATTGTCACAGCGTCAACAAGGCTCATTACGCTCCCAAGGTAGTATACCAATGCGACAGCCACAACGAGTGGCCACAACCAATAATGGCAGTTCTGATTTGGACTCATTTGCTGATATTGTATGTCATTTTTCGAAACGAATGCAACTTTTTGGTTGATCAGAAAGTCAACAGTTTGAGAAGAACATTATTTTTATAGTGTTGAAGGAGATGAGTACTTTTTTTTAAAGAATGTGTTGGGAATTCTCGTAGAGTGACATTCATTAGGCATTATTGGCAAGCGAGAAAAATCATTTTACTTTAAAACCTGGCTAATTCTAACTCGGAGGAGAGCAAACCAAAACGTTCCGATAAAGAAGTCCTGAAAAACCAAAACGTTTCGATAAAGCAATAAGGAAATGTAACGTCTGAATTCAGCAATGGTTATTGAGTGAGAGTGAAACAGAATCTGAGCTAGTGGCCGCGTTGGATAATCGACACCTGGGAAGTGCGCCGATCATTCGAACACCACTCCGGGGCTTGCGGCTCACTGAAGGCACTGATGCTGTTCTCCAATGCAATATCGTCGGAAGTCCGAAACCGCGGGTGTGTTTTCAATGCAAATTGGTCATAGTGAATGAATTCAGAATAAAAGTTTAATCACTTCGTGGATGGTTTGAGTAGTTGAATAAGATATTTTAGTTAGGTGTTGTTGTTGTTGCTAAAAAAAAGTGAATTCAGATTGAATGGCGAAAGAACGGAATAGCAATGAGTCCGACAGGACCGCCAAGAATAGCAATGACCTACAAAGGGTCGCTTGCTGTGCTCAAAATATCGATGGTGCTACCGGAAGATAGCGGCGAGTATACGGTACTTGCGGAGAACACCTTTGGACGGGTAGGTTCCTTCCTCGAACCATTCGTGAAGTCTATTTAAACTCCATCCTATTGTTTACCACATCCTCTCGAACACCAATAATAAAAATGAGTTCTTCTCCGGGAAGCATCCCATTTCATAGCAACTCTGCCACAGCATATCGATTCTGAATCCTGTTCTCTCGAATATATTCAATCAGTCTGCGATGCTTTTGTTCTGTGAACAAAAGTTCAAGCAGTGATTTCATCACTTCATGCAATGTTTTCAACTGCACTCAAATCACGGAACAGCCATTTTTCCATGGTTTAAACATGAGAAAGAGTTATGAGGCAAGTGGGTTTGCAGAGCTCCTATTAAATCTTTTCACAAGCTTATTCATCAAATTCATATGTCCTCATAGTACGAAGCTGAATAAGTTTCGTAATTGTGCAAAGCTCCGTTTCATTAGTTAAGCGACTGTTGAACTTTTTTGAGATTATGCGTCAGCGATTCAGTTCCTTTAAACATATGGCCGCTCATTTATCATTTCTATTCCTTCCTTTAAATTTATATCGAACGGTGAAGAAAGCATTGCTCAAGGCAACACATTCTTTCGATGTTATGATTCAGACTGGATGCGTGCTCTCGGAATATGCCACATACACATAAATTTCATGGCAAGGTAAGTTTACGTGTGGGTTTAGCGAGAGAGTACAAAAAGATTTCGTTGGATATTTAATCATAATTATTCAGACAAGCCTTTCTTATTCCAGCCCAAGCTCTTGTATATCCGAAGATTTAGAGTTGTGATGGAACCTAAACAAAATCGAGTTGCTGATGAAAACAATGTTGAAGATTTTCACATATTTTACTGCTCGTCTGACTAAATACCTCATTGTCAGTTTGCAAGGAAACATTTGATGAAAACTTGGAATGCACACTGTTTTATAGGAAATAAGTTATGAAGTTAATGCCGAACTCGTGAGGAAACTAAAGCTGGAATTAAGTGGAGATTCTGTGAAAAGTGCAAGTAGTCACATTATTTAAGCTTTCGGCTCCATTGGAAAGTGCTTTTTTTCGAAACAACCAATGAAGCGGTAGCGCTAAGCTAATGTTTTTGTTTGTGTGGTCGTCTCATAAATAATGCAAAAAAATACTACATCATGGGGATCAAAATAGCAGGTGAATGGACGAATCGAGTTCATTGTAAATGAGTAATGATGTTGTGTTCACCGCTATCCCTATGTGATGCATTTGTTTTAATGAATCGCTATAAAATGCAGTGAAAAATAAATTTTGAAAGAATACAACTGAGCGTAAAGTGCGGCCGTTTTGTTTCTGTCTGATCTCAAACGAATGCGTTCAGATGAAAACAATGATGAGTCGAGCTCACAATAAGCACACAACCTGTTGAAGTACTACTTCGATAATTCGCATCGTTATTGGAGTGAGGAATCTTGAAGTGAGGATGTGCCCTAAAGAAAATGCATGATCCCAAACTTGTAGCTTATGCATTTTCGGGAATGTCTCAAATTGCAGAACACACGCGACTAATCATTAATGTCGCATTAAACTTTTTGATTCCACAATTGATATTTTGCAAGATGGATTCTAGTGTACAGTGATCACTACATGTTGTAATCTTAGCACAGTAACTCATCAGTTCACATCCTTTTATTCGATGTTCCTTTGTCGACAAATCAACATTTTGAATACTTATTGTAATGCCAGTTAGCATTTGTGCAGTACAAAGAAACTAACATCTCTAAACTCGTTTCAGTCATTTAACTAAAACGTTTCAATTCATTAAAATGTTTGCTTCTTCCAACAGATATTGAATGACGCTTGGGAATTTGAGATGAGACCACTGCAAATATATCGAAGCTCGTAAATTGTAGCTCCTGAATCAATCATTCACAAAGGAATGGAGTCCTTTGCTAATTTTACACCACTGCAAATCGAGCACTTTTAGGAATTGCGCGCAACAAGAGTTCACCAATAAAACGAAATTGCTTAGAGCTGTTGACATTGAATTTATGAGCGGAATCGACAAAGTTGACCCTCACGGTAACAAGACTGTAAATTCCGATTTATGGATCGAATACTACGAGCATTCAAGTACAAACAAGCGCTACGTTTTGACCTCTTGCAAAAAGTTTGCCATATAATTTATTGGATAAATTTGAGAAGACTGTTGCTTAAGAATGTTGCATTCGATGAGCAGGGCATGAGTATTTATCATTTTAATTATAAACTAAACCGTCCCGTTGTAATGCTGCGTGAAAAAAAATGACTGTATTCGCTCTCTGATCATTCTACTCATTTTGCGCAGTAACGTTCATTCTTTTCTGTTTTACTGTAATCTTAAAAAGTTTAGTATAGTTAGTTCACCTGTTCCATGATGGATTACATGAGACTACTGAGCAATTAATTTTCCACTCTATGAATGATTTTTCCTCGATGAACTTCAAAGTGATAATATCAGCAGGATATGCAGCAGCAGTAGCAGCATGTGTTCCCATTAACTGATTACTTGAAGCAACTGAATTGATTACTTATTTTGAAACGAAACGAAATACCTAACGTTCCACATATAATACATAAACAGGGTTATTTCTACCTACTTTTGTTGTAATATCGATATGAGCGTTAAAAAACAATATCATCATCGCGATAATATCAAAATACACAGTCGTGCGCTTGGATAAAGGGATGTTTCTAATCTCGATCCATCTATCACAGTTAGGCGAGTTTCTTGCTGGCTTGCGGAGGCGATCTAACTTAGCAGAGAAAGTTAGAAAGGTAACGCCCTCAACCACCTCACCTTCGTTCATTAAGCAACAATTTCTTCACCCACATCTCATCTCAAATCTCGCTCATTCTCTTATTCTCTATGATATTTTGCTATCGCAATGTTCGTTAAGTGCTAAAGCTGGTGGTAACTGAGGCTGTTAATTTGTTAGGCCGTTCAGGTGTAACGATCGACCTGAATGAATCAACCTTAAGCTTCCTTAATATAAATGATGTGATGCTGTTGTGAATCAGTTGATAAGATGCTTCAGTTGAGCTTCCCTCAAGCGAAGAGGTTGCTCAGAACTCGACAGTTTTCACGCTTCTTGTTTACATTGTTCAACGATAACATGATCAATTTCTTTCACACCTATATTTATTAACTATTCAGCTTCCTTTGGGAGCATATTCAAGCGTTCCTTTTTTGGTTGTATTGGAAACTCAACTTGTTTAGACATTGAAACCGAACGTTACTTCACTTTGAAGATTCACTTTACTTTTGTGACTACGCTGGACGAATGTTTTGCTACGGTATGGATATTGAGTATCAAAAGCCGAGATAATAAGCCATTTCTAGAGATGATAGTATTTCTTAATGATGTAATGAAAGATCTCGTACTTAAGGCACTTGCCATTCACTAAAACCGGACCGAAAAATATGTTATTGCCAGCTGGATTCGACACTGTTCGGTGTACCACCATTGAATTACTGTTCCCATATTTTTTTCTGCCATAAGCATTGTTGATGAATAGGATGAGTTTGCATTAGATTCTTTCGTTATTCTGAAGTTCTATGGTGTTAATTCTGTTGTTTTTATCTCTATTCCATTGCTATCTTCCTGCTTTGCGGCATCCAATAATGCTATAAATCATTGGCTCTCATAGTGGTGAAATTATCCAGTTTTGGTAATTTGGGGTCTCGGGCGGGAAATGGAAAGGGCGGTGAGAATTGATTGAGCCCTTTGGTATTTCCATATCAATGAGTGAGATGCTTGGTTTTTCGTTGAACCATATTTCATGAATGATTTTAACCATTCCTTTGATATTACCTTTTGATCTCATTCCGCAACTGATGCTTTCTATGTCGATGTTAAGCATCCCACTTGCATTCTGAGTATAATCTGATCTGCTACAAAAAAATTAGCTCTCTTACCATGTGAGCGCCACTTACTTTCGTTTACCTTGTTGTTTTTTATCGAAAGGAAATGCGATTTAGCATATACGCCTGAATGTTTGTGAATCATTAAAAAAACAACAACATATCAGTTCATAGGTACACACAATGTGGAATGTTCTGATGCAATTGCAAATTTTCTATAGGAAGCGATAAAAGATATACAGAATGCTTGGGTTGTTCCCTGTAATGCGAGCATATCTTCACGCTATTCGGTACCGCACTGTGTAATTGGATTTCTGCTCAGTTTGTGTATTAGCAATTCGGATCTATTCGCGAAAAATTAATCGTCTTAAAATGAAGTTTTTCTAGTATTGAGCAATGCAGCACTTTGCGTATTTGCACTGTTCTAGCTGCGCTCCACTCTCGACAAAGCGCCATTTCTTCAGTAATAATATGGTCTGAATAAACATTTGGCAACGTTGTGACATGTTTTTGCCATATGCTATCCCGTAAGCTTTTTGCGCTGAACGCTGTTCGGAGGGTATATTGAATCAACTGAACACTCTTTGTTAAAAACGGATCATATCGTTGAGCACATCATAAAATATTTGGACAGTGTAAGATTTGATGCCAAAAGATAAGTGCAATATGAAGATTCTGAAAGAAATTTACAGTCAATGAAAATTTAAAATGCAAAATGTATACGTGAAAAAATGTTGATTTCATTCAATAATCATTCGAAAAGTTCATTCATAAGATGATTATCGAAAGCCCTGTTAGAACTGAACAATCTCATTATTACAAAAAAGCACTGTTTGGTCTAAAATTTTTCAATTATTTCAAGTATGTATCAATTACATCTTTATTCACTCCGCTGCATTCGTTTGCGCTGGATGTATATGCTTACAAAATTTGAAGAAAAATGATATCGTTTAAATGGATGAACGAAAAAGCGAATATGCATTCAAGATGGTGCAAATTGAAAGGGAATAATGGTTCTTATAAATTCCGTGACATATTTGTTGCTCGTTGCGGACGAATGGAATAATGATGTGAAATGTCACATCAGCAATTAGCACACAAAAACAACTGCTGAAGTGCATTTTTTGCATTCTTTTGCTCAAAAAAGGTTCCTCAATTGAGAATGGAAACATTACTCATCACTGAAGATAGTTTCTGTCACGGTCAGTTCGTGCTTTTTGTTGAGGTTCAACGCGAACGAAGCGTTGGCTAATCTCAGCGGTACAGTATCACTGATATATTGCTGCTGAACGTGTTCAATTTGAATGAAAAAAACTGCGACGTTCTATTTTCAGGTCGATAGCAGCGCCCGTGTAGAAGTATATCCATTGCATATACCTGATGAGCGAAAGCCACAAAGGGCTGCACCTCAACTGAGGCAACAAGTTCCAGAACAGTTTCAGCAGCAGCAACTTCAACTCCAGCTCAGACAGCAGCGTGAGCGGGAGCAACAATTACAGCAGCATCAAGTTCAGGAAACTAGTCAGCGTCAAGTCACCCAACGACGGGAATCGCCACCTGAACGCCGGCAGCTTCCACAACAACAACCATACTATCAGACTTCACAATCGCAACAACAAGTTCGATTACAGCAGGTCATTAGCCCATTCCGGAATATTCGTTCGTCCTCATCTGAACGTTCTTATCATTTCCACAAGTTGAGTGGGCAGCTTCATCCACTTCCTGGTTATCTGACAACGTAAACTTTGACTGATGAACATAAAATAGACTATCATCGGTGATTGACCTTTCAATCATCACAGCTCCTAACAACTTTTCTGCATCTTTACTTTCGTGCTGTCTGATCTAGTGAATGATATTGCCAAAGTCTTCTGAACAATACTGAAGTGATACATGTACTGAAAATCTATGAACTCTTTCATCTCGAGCTGGTTCGAGTGGTTATATGGATAGTTAGGGTAAACAAACATCTAATAGACCGAAAGATTCTTGAAAGCTTTATTTTTCGTAGAATATCAGGTTCAAAAACCAATCCACTCCAGAAACATCTTCAAATGAATGCAAAGGAAGTGACTGGAGCAAAAAAGACAGAGCAATATTTCATCAAGAAATGCCTGTTTCTTACGTTAGTAAATCGGTTGAGGATACTTTCTTTTGCACACTCACTTTTTGCATAGTACATTTACATTTGAGATAAGTGTAACAGAACATAACAACTGAGCATTTCATTGATTGGATTGTCAAGTAAATTTCGATATTATTTGCTCAAACAACTAAAACAAATACTTTCCAGCAGCACCAACAACAACAACAGCAGCAGCAACTTGAGCAACAGCGTCGAGAGTATCTCGAAGAACATCAGCCAATAAGACATATCGCACAGCAGCCACAGTACGCTCAGCAGGTTGCTGTTTCGTCTTTGCGTTACTTTTGATTACCCTGAGTCACCATTACACTCGCTCGTTGATTGATATAATCCATTGGGCGAAGGTGTTGATTTGTTGTTTTCAAATTGCACAATTATCAACGTATAAGAATTTCATCTCATCTTAAACAATATTTCGATAATCTGGTGTGTAACTCAAATATCACCAATGAACTTGATTGCTGTCATTTCGCAAGTCATTAATTTGCCCATTAACTTCGCTCACACTCCCATTATTTTTATGGGTAGCAGCTCCATTAATGCGCGAGCGTTTGTCCTCCTCCAATATCTCTGAGCTTTTGATAGCTTCGAAATTAGCGAGAAAAAATTTTTATCGACTTCATAAGGTGCCCATTTCCCTTTAGCAAGATCTCATCAGTGGTATCTCACACGATTGCAGTGAACTAATGCGAGTGCATTGATATTACTGAATTTAATTAGGATTCAAAGCTATCCAACTGTACCACAGTTCAAATGACTATTGCAGCGCTAACGCTGTGTTGTACAAAGTTTTCTAGATGGTTCACCTCGAGGAGTCAGTTTAAATCAAAATATTTTAGGGTTATCAGCAGCGTCAAATTAAGCAAGCCACATATCAACAGGTTAATATTTTCATAGTGGCTTCATACTGTAAGATTATTTTGCATTTTTATATGAGTTCATTGTATTGTGAGTCTTACGTTCAAATAAGTATATTTTAAGTATGTTAAATAATCGATGCATTCAATCATCAAATATTAATAACAATCAAATAACCAATGCATTCATTCAAAATCAACAACGTTGATCGCCTATTGTTATAATACAAACTCAGTTATATTAATAATTCTTTCAATGCCAGTGAACAACTCAGCAATNCCTATTACCACTTGCTGAGATTTCTTCTTTCGTATCTAAATCAATGAGCGCCAGAGATTTGAATGGATTGAGAATGAATAAAATCCCATCTGACGGTGTCATATGATACGATGCATGGCTCATATTCTTTCCATTGATGCTTCATAATGCTCAAAGAATCTTTTGCCATTTCAAGTTTACGCCAAATAGCAATGAATATTCAGATTCGTGAAAGGTCCTCACCCCCACCCGTTCAGCAGCCGCGTTATCAACAGCAAGCTGAATACCAATACGTTCAGGTGATCATTCGTTTCTCCAGTTGATCAACATGGGTTTAAATCTAGGAACAGCTTATATGAAGGATTTGACCCAAAAACGTCGGATAATAAACTGAACTGCGACGGGAGGAAAGTCATAGGATCAGATGAGGAATGCATAAGAAGTTCTTAAAAGTATCATTACCTTCACAAGTGTGGTTCAAGAGTTTCATAAAAATTTTCGGATTTTTGAGATGATGCAAGTGAATGATCGCATTTACCTACTATTTTTTACCGATTTCAGCAGCAGGAGCAGCCAATATATTCTCAACAGCGACAGCCGACACGAGCTCAACAACAAGAGCAACGCTTTTACAGAGAGGAACCGCAATTACTCAGACAAGTAATGAGACGCTCATTTGAGCCACCACTTGCTAGATAGACATTTCATCCCAGAAAGTTGAAGTTTTGACACGAAATAAATGAGCGATAAGAAATGATCGAAAATGTTAAACTCTCATTTCACAGTTTCCAGCTGTTTATTGTGGTCTCTTTCGGTTGAGATTTATGACTCATTTCTCTGCTGGATAAGAAACATCTAGGAATAGCCTAAGCACTTTCACTGCAGACTCAAGAGCGTTATTACCCGCAACAGCAGCAACAAGAACGACAGCAGTCGTACGATTACTACCAAAGGCCTTATCAATATCATACGAGAGACGCTGATCCACATTATCAGCAGGTATCACTGAAAAATCTCGTTGTTTATTTGATAAATATGAATCACCGTTTTCGGTCACGAATCACCGGTGTGAAATGTTCAATGAGTTAATTCTGTTTAGACAATATTTTGTAAGCATGATCTTCTTAAACTGCAGTGTATAGCGTAAAATGATTGAAAACAATGTTAACCCAAGATTCAGATCTAATTGTAGATAGAAATCGTGATAAAGTTAATTGACTTGCTCGTTCGAGATAGAAATTAGTGCTGATTACAGTACGCTCAACAAGTTTCGCCTCCACAGCAGTATCGCGTTCGTGAGCCTCCGTCACCAGCACAACTGAATTATCAACAAAAATATCAGCAGCAGTATCAGTTGCACAATCCAAATCAATATCAACGACGTTACTACGATCAAGCAGCAGAAAATCAAGAAGAGAATTACTATAAAATGCATGTCCTTCAACGAAAACCGCTCCATCAACAGCAACAAGCAGTAAGAACACAATCAAGTCCAGCATTTTCCTCACATCAGCAAAAAGTTCTGAAAAAATCAGTGTTTCATATGAAAGTTTGAGAGAAACGCAATCGCAACACAGACAGAATGGTTTGAATTGTGCAGTTATCAGCGCTCATTTTCAGGTAGTCACTAGCCCACCAAATCTCGCTGCTCGAAGTGCACGAGCACAACAAGCAGCCGCAATGGTGCCCGGCATGAAACCACCTCAATTTATCGGTGTACCTGCTTCTACAACCGTTAAATTCGGACAATCAGTGACATTTACGGCAAAAGTTTGTTGCCTTTGAGATTTGACTACGTAGGACATTAACACGGCTCAGAACTTGTAAGAGGCAGAGGAAGTCGGTAGAAATATGCTACAGTAGTGTGACTGGTGTAAAATCTGACGCACCGAGCAACAGAAAAATTGAAAGAAATATAAAGAAGCACAAAAGCAGAAGCATAAAATACTCAAAATGTCCGTCCGTTGTTGCTCTACTGTGCGATTATTCATTTAGGCAACTGGCCATCCGTTACCTGAAATTCGATGGTACCGTTCGAGTGGTGCAGAAATAGAATCAGTTGGTCGTTTCAACGTGAACAATTTCATGGATGGAACGTCAACACTTAAGATTGAGCAGTGTTCAACGGCAGATGCAGATGCTTATTTATGTGTCGCCAGTAACGATGGCGGAGCCGTACAGACCCGATGTTCGCTGACTGTAATCGGTTGGTGTTGATCGTGGTCGTTGACACATACATAACTTCATTGCACATCATAGCTGGTCAGCCAGTTTGTATGCATTCAAAATGTTTTCAGAAGGCAGTGGTGCTACAAAACCTGAATTTCTTGGCAAGTTCCAGTCAGTGACTATTTTCGAAGGAGATTCTCTGAAATTATACTGCAAGGCTAGTGGAGAAGGCATCAAGATGTCATGGTTCAAAGATGATGTACCTATAAAGACAGGCGGAATTTTTAAGTAGGTTTCATGAACATTCACTTATCTTTGAACAACAAGTTAACTGAAAATCTGAAACGTTGAAAATAACGAAATTTGACGAAGGGTCAAAGTAGCGAATTAGCTTGTATTGAACATCTGGCCGAATTGCAACAACCGTGAATGAATTTGAGTTGTGCACTTGCTCAGAAAGGATTTTTATATCTCCAAGAAGGGCACACAAAATACTTTAAGTAGTGAATGGAGTTTTTATGATGCTATAAAGAAAGTTGTTTGAAGAGTTGAAGACCATGGAAATGGTGAGACAATATTACACATCGATGGCGCAAAAATGTCCGATGGAGGATGGTACCGATGTGATGCGTCAAATCCACAAGGCTCATCATCGTTGAAAGTTTGTGTCGTTTGAATTCGGAAAATGAACTCTTTGCATCTCATCTTCAGACAAGTTCCTCCATCCTATTATCCATCTTTATCCTGTATAAATCACTAAGTGATTGCGTAATATCTGAAATGAGTGTTTCAAAAAATTTAGGGTCGAGTTGTAGTGCAATCGCGACGTAAGCATCCCTCTCCATCGCCTATCGAACAGGTCATTCTAAGGAAGGTTGATCGACGAGTTATGAGGTGCGTGAAATACTTTTGTCTTGAGCATACATAACCGAGAAATTCTTCCGTTGACAGTCGAATCACTTCATTTTTGAGTAAACAAAGTTGAATATATCATGGTTGGTATAATTATTAGTGTTTGAGACCACTAATAATTTTCGGCACAGTTGATAATTCTTGACGTAATTGATAAATAAATGATGATCTTTCAGAGATGGAAGGCTATCTGAAGAGCCACGTGCCCCATCAAAAGAAGCACCAAAGCTAGTTGCCTCTTTTCCCACTATGAATCTCATCGAAGGTCAAACGGCTCGTTTCGAGTGCAGAATAACGCCTGCAGATGATCCAAATCTCAAAATTGCATGGCTCCTTAACGGGAAGGTATATCTTTCAATGAAACTTTCAAATTCGCTTGATGAAACATTCTGCGTAAAACGTGATAAATTTCAATTTGTTCAAGGCAATTCTCGCAAGTACTCGAATAACGACTATTGTGGAAGGTGGTTATGCAGTGCTTGAGATCAGTCCTGTGACCGTTTTCGATAAGGGAGAATATACGATTGTCGCTGTGAATACCCTCGGTGAATCAAGGCAGTCTGTACATTTGGACGTCATCGGTTTGTTCTGTTCCATTCATACATTGATCAATCCCACACCGTGATCTGCAAATGCTTTTCGTTCACCACTAAGATATTCGAAAGCGATTTATGCATCTTGTGTCCTATTATTGAAGCGGTACGCAACTATTTTTTTGGTGGAGGGAATGAAATGAGTGTCGTGAGTTTCTCAATAGAAGACCAATCGCCAAATATGTTGAAGGTCATCGCTCCGTTACGGATGTATCGACATTGACAAATATAACCAACCTGCAAGCACAACAGCAACTGACACAAGTACAAGAAGCAGAGAGACTGACCCGAATGGGTACCACTGTACAGACCACTGCCGGTCACTTGATTGAAATACCGAATTTCCATTCGGAACTGCGATCGATGGAGATATTTGATGGACAAAACCTACACTTAGAAGCTAAACTATCGCCAGCAAATGATCCAAACCTGAAGATTGTTTGGCTGTTCAATGGCAAGATAATAACGCAAAGTGAGTTGAAAATTTGCAGTCTGTTCATTCATTGTAATCAAAGTGACAATAAGATGAGCAGCTAAAATCGACGACACTTGGCTTCTAAGTGGCGCATAATGAAATTACAATGTGCTGACATCTGTTAATTTGTGCTTGCTTCTGTTGAACTTTACGTGGCTAAAAACTGAACTTGGACGAAAATATTCAGGTGAACGTATCAAAATAACGCACGGACACGGATTTGTCACTTTGGATATCATTGGAATTACCGTAGCTGAGGCTGGCACATATGTGTGTCGTGC